GCTGGGGGCGGGGACGTGGCAAAATGGAGGCGCCGCCGACAGAGAGGGGCTCTCTGCTGCGAGTGGGGAAGCGCCCCGGAGGGGACAGGTCTGGGGAAGCTGGGAGTCCCTAGGCCTGGGGGTCCTGAGTGGGCTACCCGGGGAGCATCCCAAGCTTCCTCCTGGGCTGGTGGTGGGGTGAGGGCAGAGGCCAGCTTGCTTCCCCGCGGGGCCCCTTTTCACCCACCGAGCCGGGAGGGCACTCAAAGTGCTGGTGGAGGGCAGGCTGGAGACAGCCCTGGAATTGCCCTGGTCCCAATTCGCCGGCCCACAGACGCCCTAAATGTCCCTCAGTATATCCCAAGTCACGTATGCACACCCAGGTCAAAGCATACTCCCCAAGTCACCAGATGCACTAACTCACTGCCACAGTCAGAGGTACCCGCGTCAGACCCAGTAATTCTGGAGGTGTGCACCTCACCGGGCCACATACCAGGCCCACAGCCCAATTCAGGCACCCTCAGAGTCGGGCAGATCTGCCGTACACACCGCAAATCAAACCCACCCCTCTCAGATACACCCCAACTCGCAATAAACACCGCTACTCATGCGTTTCCCACCCCAGCTGACTCAAGGACACCCCGCAGTGGAACAGATGTGCCCGTGGCCTGAGACCCCTTTCTCGAGCCCTGGGAGTTTCCTGGTAAAAGAGCACCCCATCCAAGAGTGAAGTGACCCTACCCTGCCTCCCGTGTGTATCTGACCCTCCCGTGCGGGCAACTGGAGAGCCAGGAGGCAGTATCCTGTCCCAGCTTAGCATTAACTCTCCGCAAGGCCTCCGAAAAGCCTTTGTCTCTCTCCAGTCCGCTGCCCCAGCATCCCTCCAGCTCTAGCGCAGCGGTGTTAGGAAGGGCTGACATGGCCCTATACAATGGGTGGGGGGCAGTGTACTGTGTACCCCCTCCCCATTCAGGAACCCCTCCCACCCTCAAGGAGCTCAGGAGGAAATGCACTGCTGACGGCAAATGCAGGGTCTGGGGCCACCTGGTCACATGTTTTTGAGAGCCGTCTCCCCTCCCCCGCCCAGCCACGACTGCACGCGTGTGCGCATGTCCCGAGCCAGCCTACATGTGGGGGCTGGGGTAAGGGGCGGTCCCCGGGTTGAGTCACGGGAGCCGAGCCCAGGCTCCTGTGGTAGCAACAACAGCAAGGGCGTGGGGGGGGCGTGGGGGAGCGCAGCCGGCTCCTCCCTCCCTCCACCTGGTACCCCCATTCCTCCTTCACAGCTCCTTCTACTCTTCCCTGGCCCCCACCTTGAGCAGCTCCCTGGGGAAGTCTCCGCCTTCGTTAAGGCCCTCCAGGTTCCCAATGAAGTCCCCGCAGGTCATTCGCTTCCCGATGTTCTAAGGGAAGGTGCAGAGGTCTGAGCTTGGGGGTGCAAGAGAACCTCCAGGCCAGGAAGTCTCTGGACCTGGGATCTGCTTCCTGCCTCCAGGGAGCCCCCTCTCCTGCACACCCACTCACGTGGCCATGGAGATCCGTGTTCAGGAGCATGAGGGCGCAGGTGAGCGTGTGGGCACCGTCTGCGGGAGAGCGCACATCAGCCTGGGCCTCCTGGGGGAACACAGCCCCCCCCTCCAGACATCTCCGAGGTACTGGGGGCGCAGAAACTCTCTGCCTCCGCCCCCCCTCCCCTCAAACACACACACACACACACACACATCTGCCAGTCTAGGCACTAAACGCACATCCAAGCTAGTCTGGCCCACAGCCCTGCAGCCTAGGGTGGCCACACAGAGGACCCCCTCCAGCCAGCCCTGTCCTGCATAGGTATGTGAGCAGCTGCCTGCAAACTCACTTGCCACAGGTCTCTGCACAAGGCACACCTGATGCCAGCAACACGTGTACATGCAGCCAGCACTGCACATGTGTAAAGGAGAGTGGTCTGCACACGGGCCTGCAAGCACTGCCTTCACTCACTAATGTACACACACACACACACACACACACACATACACACACACACACTGCCCCCCAGATCTTCTGGCTGGGTGACCAGCTGCGTCAACCCTCACCCTCTGAGGACAAGGCGCTGGGATTGCACTGGAAGTATCGTTGGGAAAAGTGGGCCAGCACACGCTCCCGCTCCTGGGTCTCACCCATTAAGGCCAGCTCTTTCAGAAAAACCCTGGGGAGGGGAAAAAGGAAAAGTGTCAACCCAACCCAGGTCCCCTGGGCCCCCTTCCCAGGCAGCACAAGCCCTTGGTTTTGGGGAAGAGTTAGGTCACAGCAGGCTGGGGGAGGCATAGGGGTTGGAGTGCCCATGACTGAGGCTCTGCACCCCAGAGGGCCCAGCCCCTACCTGAGAGCTTGGTCCAGAGTCATGCCCGTGAAGACAAAGAACTTGAGGTACTCCCCAGCCACTAGTCTGCTGAAGTCATTGCTGTGCGCAGGGCAGAGAGAAGAGTGGTGTGAAGAGGGAGAGTGTCAGAAATTCGGGGTGAGACCCAGGGTGTTGGGCGGAGGGAGTGGAGGCTACAGGATAGATTCGCACCCCCGTCCTCCACCCCAGCCTAGGGGCTTTACTTCTTGCCCAGGTGCCGGGCCACATCAGCCTTCCGGAAGCCGTCCAGCCTGTACAGCCGCTTGGCTAAGCGCTGCGCCGCTGCCAGGTCTGCCTTCTGCCCATTGGACAAGGTGTCTGTACTTCCCAGGGCCAGCTGCTCTGTGCTGTCCAGCTCTGAGTCCGAGTCGGACACCAGCTGGCTCAGGGGTAGTTCACTGCAGGGTAGGACACCAGCTCAGGGGGCGGTGGGGAAGGGGGAGCAGGCCCTTAGGAGGCCACCCAGGTTCCCCTCTACTTCCAGACCCAGACAAGAGAAAAGAGGCTGTTTTTTTCTCCTGGGAAGAGATTTTACAGGTTCTCTCCATGAATTGACTTCATCTTTACTTCCTCTCTGTGGAAGTCCTGCCTCAAGTCTAACCCACACCCAACTTGCTGCTGTGGGAGTTCTGACTACATCCTCCAAGCTCCCAGGGGCTTTGGTTTGCTGGTACACCAGATTCCCCATCCCCACACTGGCCCTACACAGACCACTGTCCCTGAGAAGGGGGAAGGAAGTGGGATGGATGGGCTGTCCGGGAGGACACAGTGACAGCCAGGACATAGATAGGAAGGCAGCAGGGACACCCTAGGCCTACTCCTGGCTTCCTCTCCCCTTTTGAATAGAGGAGCCTTCTCCCTCCAGCTTTCTCCTCTTCCCCCACAAGTAGCAGGCTCTGGGATGGGAGAGCCTGGGGGTCAGGGTATGCTCCCTCACCCCCTTCCTTCTCCTCCCCTTTCCTCCCCACCCCAGCTGCTCTACTGACAAAGCCACCTGTCACCCCAGAGACAGAGGCCGGAAACTCCTGGTTGCTAGGCAACCCTGTCTCTCTGGCCACCCCCTCCTGTTGTCATGGCTTCCATGACTGAGAGGGTAACTGGAGGAGAAGGGGGAACAGAAAGGTTAGACTAGTGAAAGGACTTCCTGGCAAAAGGTGGGAGACTCCTGATCATGAAAGAGGAGGGGGGAGTGATTGGGGAGGGAGGGAAGGGAGAGGCTGGAGGCTCCATCTTTGGGAGAAGCCTCCCTGCTGGGTGGGAGTAAAGTGACAAGAATTCTAAGCAGGTTCAGGTGCGGCTGCCTGGGGAGAAAAGGGCCTTCCTGGAAGGAAACTGGAGGGGTGGGTGGTGCATTCTCAGGGGTCTTCAATCTAGAATCATGTCTTTTTAAGTCACTGGGACCAAAGGGGGCTGTTAAGGGCTCCTGAGAGTCAGTGGAAGTTACGTAGTCTCCGTGGGGAAAGAGACATCTGTAGCCCTTAAGGACTCCCACTCTGGGGTCAGAGAGACGAACACCACCCCAGGCTCAGGCTCTGCCCCTGTAGTCAGCTGCTCTTGGGGTCCTGAGGCCCCACAGCTGTGGGAATCACTCACCTGCCCAGGGGTGCTGCCCCCAGCCCAAAGCTGTCCTCAGAGTGGCAGGGACTAGAGGGCGCCCTCTCTGGGGCCAGCTTGGCGCCAACCTCAGCCTCCTCCTCTCTCTGTGTCCAAGGCCCATCAGAGCTGGTACCAGAACCTGGCTCAAGAGGGGCAAGTGGGGCAGGAGCAGAGGGGTCAGGCCGGGGGGCAGGGGGCTGTGGGGGCAGCTCGAAGGTGAAGAAGGGACTCTGAGTTGGGCCAGGTGAGGCCAGGGCTTCCAGGGAGGCGAGGCTGGTATAGGAGGTGCCTTTGGCCCTGTGGGACTCCAAGATGGCCTCAAACACACAGCTGAAAGAGTCAGGCCCGTCTGCTGAGGGGCTGGTCCCAGGTAGGAAGGGCACCGGTGACTTGAGAGGCCCCGGGTGAGGCATTCGGGTCCCTGGCCTGCAGGGGTGGGAGAATGTGTGATTGGGACACCAGCCATGTCCATGTGGGGCAGATCTTGGGCCCAGTGACTCGGAGCCCTCCCACTGATTCTGTGAAAGGACTGTCACCCCATTTCACAAGCAGAGAGAATAAAGCTCAAAGAGAGGAGAGGTCACTTACCTCAGGCCACAGAACCAAGAGTCAGACCTCTGAGCCCGTCTGACCCCGTGCTGAAGCCTCCCCTGGTGCCTGTGCCCAGCCCCACTCAAAGAAGACAGGGCCCCACCCAGGTTTCCTGGTGTCCCTGGGCACCCCAGGCCTACCCCAGCACCCAATCCTCTCCTCCCTGTTAATCTCCCTTCCTCCTCCTTCTCCCTGATCCGCTCCCCTCCTGCCATCCCTTTTCTATTTCTGGCAACATCTTAGGAGAAGAAGCTGAGTCTCTGAGTTGCAGTGGGGTGTGAGACTGGAAAGGAAACCCCCACATACCTCACTCTCTCTCACCCGGACTCAAGATCTGGACTGAGGCGCTTGATTCAGGCCTCTGGTCTCTGGCCTCCACATACACACTGCACCACACATAAAACA